GGGGGGGGCTCTTGGGTCCTGGGGGTTTGTGGAGGCTGTTATTAGTTAATTAATGAATTATTTTGTCTATCTGTCTATTTTTTTATTTATTTCCCTCCTGAAGTGTTACAGTTTAGCATAAAAACAGGCCCCTTTCCCAAAGCTTCCCCATCCCTGGTGGAAGGTACTGGGAAGGGGAGGGTGGCTTTGGGGCCTGGGGGTTTGTGGTGGCTGTTATCAATCAATGAATTAATTAATCAATTTATTCATATATGTATTTTTTTCAGAGTGTTACTCCAGAGCTACCAGCCCACCTTTCCAGCTGAACTCCCACCTGTTTTGCTCTGAGCCCATGGGGTGTTTTGGGACACCCACAGTTCCACCAGGAACTTTAAAAGGTTTTGTTTTTACCTGGAGCTCCGGCACTGACAGAATGGACTCTTCCGAGGCCGACGACATCTCCTCATCCTCATCCTGGGTGAAATCATCGAAGTCATCCTCCTCCTCCTCCTCCTGCCCTTCCCTGTCCCCCGCAGCCTCGGGGCCCGCCGGGGTTCCCACGGACTGGCCGTCGATGCTGGACGAGTCCTCGGGCCTTCCCAGGGGGCTGCTGAACTCAGCCTCGCCCTCCCCGGGGCACGGGGGGTTCCCGGGGGACTCCCCACTCCCCGGGGGCCCTGGAGCCGCCGCCTCTCCCTGCTGCTCCCCCCGGGGAGGCGACTGCAGGGCCCGGCCTTCCTCCTCCCCTTTCTCCTCGCCCTTCCTCGCACACGCGGCCTCCACGTTCAGCTCCTGGCCGAGGCCCAGCAGGAATTCCTCCTTCACCTCAGAGATGTCCCTCTTCTGCCCCGGGTTTGCCTCCCCGGGAGCACCACCGGGTTCTTCGGGCTCGGTTTTTGCTGCTTCGCCCGGGGGATCCTCCAGGCGAGGCAGCAGCTCCGCCACGGGCAGCGGCTCCGCGGAGCTCCCGTCCCCTTCTCCCGCTGCCCAGCGCTCGCCCGCGGTGCTCCCCTTGTCCTGGCCACCACTGCCCTGGGCAGGGGCAGGGTTGGTGCCCCTCTCCCCCTCGGGGGACAGGGAGGAGCGGGGAACAAAGAGCTCCGGGGGCTCCGCCGGGGGTTCTCCCGCGGGATACGCGCGGCCTCCACCGCCGCTCCCGGCGGGAACCAGGGTCAGCTGCTCCTCACCCTCACCCACGGCCGGCCTGGAGAGACCCACGGGGCTCGGGGACACGATCAGGGACGGGATGGACGAGGTCACCAGGGGCTGGTTCAAGGGGCACGGGAAGGGGGCCGGGTTCACCAGCAGGGTGGTGACGGGGATGGCCTGCGGGCCGCGGCCCACGGCGGGGCCGAGGGGCTGGATCACGTTGCAGCCGTTGCTGATGTTGAGCACCTTGACGGTGGCGGCGGGGACGGTCAGGATGACGGGGGACGGCTGGATCAGAGGGGAGGGTTTGATCAGCGGGGCGGTTTTGGTCCCTTTTTTCCTCTGGTAGCCCCTGCGCACGCACGGCCTGCGGGGTTTGGGCCCGGCCAGCGCCGGGAGCATCAGCTTGGGCTGGAGAGCTGAGGGGTCTGAGGGCACCAGGGCCGGTGACACGGCAGCTGGGAAGGCTTGTCTGGAGTCTGGGGGTGCAGCAGGGAGAACGTTCTGGAATTCCAGGCCATCCCCACCTCCCTGAACCACCGCCGGGACGTTGAGGGGCTGCACAACCGGGGCCGGTTGGATGGGCTGAGGAACCTGGAGCAGAACTTTGCTGGGAGGAGCCTCCGACTGGGACAACTTCACGGCCTTCTGGATGTTGAGGGCGTTGGAGCCGGGCTGCAGGCCGGGGTTGGGGCGGATCAGGACGGGCTTCAGGGCTGAGGATCTCTGCCTCCTCCAGGCCCTCCGGGAGAACCGGTTGGATAAGGGCTTCAGGGTCAGGACGAGCCCCTTGGGCATGAGCAGAGGGTATTTCTCGTCGTGCTCCACGTCTGAAGTTTCCTTTCCTGCCCCCAAAAAGACAGAATCTGCAGCAGGTGAACCCGGCACCTCCTTGGCATCTTCTGCCAGCTGCTTCAGCTCCTCCTGGATGGAGGGCAAGCTCGCCTGAGGGAGCAAGGATTTATTAGGATTTGTTATTTATGGGCTGTTCCCGTATTCCCACCTTCCCACAGCACCACAGAAGGGGACAGAGAGCAACTTGCTCTTGCAAGTGGGTTTTTATTTACTTTATACTACTCTATGTTGCTTAATATTGCTTTAAATTCATGAGCCTTTAAAAGACTCTGAGATCCTGAGAGAAACCACCAAATTATTGAGGGATCCTGAGAGAAATAACAATAAATTGCTTCATTAAGTTTGCTTTAGTAAACATGGGATTTTGTGGGAAGGAAAATTCCCCCTGGAACAGTGGGTGGTCAGGAGAACTGGATTTTATGGCATCTGAGTCCAGTTCCTTCCCCAGACACTGCTCTTCCTCCTCCAGGCCTCCAACTCCTTGGAGGAAACCCAAGGGGAAAACCCACAAGGAAAACGCACAAGAGAAAGGAAAAGCCACAAGAAATCCAAGGAAAACCTACAAGAAATCCAAGGAAAACCAAGGAAAAGCCACAAGAAATCAAGGAAAGAGCGATGCAGAACATGAAGGGGGTGAAGAAGCACCTTCAGCCAGAAGGGCAGGCGATGCTCTTCCCTCTCCACGGGCGGTTTCCACTCGTGGGGCTGGATTTCCTCGCAGCACTTCACCAGGACAGGCAACTGCTTTGTCTTCTTGTAGTACTGGGAGGAGACAGGAGAGAATTCCAGACAATTCCACCTGTCCAGGTGGAAAGACTGTGCAATGAAGTGATTCCCATCACTGTTTTAACAAGGTTCTACCCACAGAAATATTAAAAATTAAAACCCAAGGCTGAGGCAGAGCTCTCTGCCACCCTGGCTGCCCTCAGAGAAAGCAGGAGGTTGTAGATGATGTCCAGGAAAACTTGTTTTAAGTGTTTCTGGTCCTTACTCTCCCTTCAGCAGAGGGACAGGATTATTGCCCTGCTGGACCTTCACCTGCAGGCAGCACTTTTGTGCTACTCAAAAGGTTGTATTTATTACACTTGTGCTCCTCAAAAGCTTATATTTATTACACTTTGCTCCTCAAAAGTTTCTATTTATTACACTTATGCTCCTCTAAAGGTTGTATTTATTCCACTTTTGCTCCTCTAAAGGTTGTATTTATTACACTTTTGCTCCTCAAAAGCTTATATTTATTACACCTGTGCTAGTGAAAAGCTTATATTTATTACACTTTTGCAACTCTAAAGCTTGTATTTATTACATTTGTGCTACTCAAAAAGTTGTATTTATTACACTTGTGCTCCTCAAAAGCTTGTATTTATTACACTTGGGCTCCTCAAAAGCTTGTATTTCTTATACCTTTGCTACTCAAAAGGTTATATTTATTACACTTTCGTGCTCCTCAAAAGGTTGTATTTATTCCACTTTTGCTCCTCTAAAAGGTTGCATTTATTACACTTTTGTTCCTCAATAGGTTGTATTTCTTACACCTTTGCTCCTCAAAAGGTTGTATTTATTTCACTTTTACTACTCTAAAGGTTGCATTTATTCCACTTTTGCTCCTCAAAAGGTTGTATTTACAATTTTTCACCAGCATTACTGAAGGAACAGTGGCACCAGGACCGTGCTGGGCTCTAAAGAGTCAAAACAACACCCGAAGCACTTGCAAAGCCCAGGGGATAAAATCTCCTGGGATAAACCCTCACTGCTAAGGAGGGGGTGACATTTTCTCCCGAGTGCCAGCAAAAAAAAGGCCCCTGGAGGAACCAGCCCCTCCCTCCTGGTGTGGCAGAGCCCAGCCCAGGCTGGGAACACCCCCTTACCCTGATGATGTTGTCGGGGGCCCGGTTCATGTTGAGGTTCTTGATCCTCACCGTGAGCTGGTGGGCGGTTTTGGTGGGCAGGAGGTATTTGCTGATCAGGGGCTTGGGAAAATCGGTGCCCTCGAAATGTTTCAGCCCCAGAGCCAACAAACTGGGCAGGGAGAGAAGGAATGCAGGGGGTAAGAAGCCTTCCAGCCCCTTCCCCAGAATCTGCACCCCCTGGAAACGCTCCTTCCCAAAGGTTTGGAGCGGGAATTCCATCCCAGCACCTACTTGTCCTCCGCCTTGGTGAAGACAATCTTGTCCCGGGGAGGGTTTGCTCTCAAGGAACAGATTGGCAGCAGCTCTGGGTACATGAAGACTTTCCTCGTGGCAAAAATCCAGGCCACTTGCTTTGGCAAACAGGAAAATTCACTGGCTGGGGGGAGAATCAACAGGTAAGGACACAAAAAGGACAAATGTTTTACCACCACTGACTTCCTGCAGACACCGTTTCTTTTACTGCCTTCACTGCAAAAAGAGACTTTCTGCCTGGTTTTTAGTGTTCTTAGTTTTTCATTCTAAGTTTACACCAGCAAAAGGTAAAATTCCTTTACCTTTCCATCTTTTTTCCATCTTTTCTTTTGCTTTATATATATATATAATATATATATCTATATATCTATCTATATTTCTATATCCATATTTCTATATCTATATATCTCTCTGTATATCTATATATCTCTATCTATATATCTATCTCTATCTCTCTATATATCTATATCTATTTATCTCTCTATATACCTCTCTCTATATCTCTATCTATATATCTCTATATCTATATATCTCTATATCTATATCTCTATATCTATATCTATATATCTATATCTATCTATATCTCTCTATATATCTATATTTATATATATCTCTCTCTATATTTATATATATCTCTCTATATCTCTATATCTCTATATAGAGATATATCTCTCTATCTATATCTATATCTATCTATCCCTATATCTATATCTATCTATATATCTAT